CCAGCAGCAGGGATCTTGCTCGACAACTTGGGACTTGGCCACTCCACCATCGACAGGCTTCATAGACGACATCAGTAAAATGGCACCCGTGACCTTCAGTGACCTTGGCAACAACGTGTTACGATGCTCCATCAGGATCGCCATATTTACCTTGTCCATTTCAGTGATTGAACACTGCCGACTGCCAGGACTGCTGCACTAGTTCAAGGTTGACGTGGGGGTCATCAGCGCTGACCCCATGCGACGTCGTCTACACGTTACAGGGCACACAGGACTGCCTTCATGTCTGTCAAGGGAGAGTTAATGCCCTTTATTACCATGAGCAGATTCTTCAGAATCACATCGTATCTGTCTTCAATCACCACCAAGATGACCATACTTTTCAACAGGACAATGCACGGGCACACACAACAAGACTTTCCATGCAGTATCTGGCACAGCAACACATCCAGGTTATTCATTGGCCAGCACAGTCGCCAGATGTATCCCCCATGGAGCACTTGTGGGGCGAAATTGGTCAAAGTCTTTCGCGGCGACAACAGATGCGAAACATCCGGGAACTTGAGGCTGCACTACTGCAGAAGTGGAATGCAATCCCCAAGAACTCTATTCGGACGCTTATTGACTCAATGAGGAGACGTTGAACTGCATGTGTCAATGCCAATGGCGGTCACACGCGATATTGACTTTTCTGTTTGACCCCACGTGTGTTTGATCCTTTCTGACTGTGGAACATTTCAATGAATGAGCGTCTTTTATGTGTTGTTGTTTTTGTCAGTCGTCCATCTGTTATTATCCACTCAAAAAATATCAATTCCTTACACGTGCTTTTAATAATCTGAACTTTTATAAGTGGTGCGTTTTCAATGATGTTCAGTATAATTACACCGATCAATAGTTTGTGGTGATGAACCATCTTGATGTAACAGTGGCACCAAGGGTGCGTTAGACGTTTATCTAACGGGGATTACGGGGAGAAAATTTGAACAGCATCATGGCTTGGCCCATTATGTCGTAACTCACAGGGTGAATTTTAATGTACTGTCGGCGCCTTTGATCTTTGAGCGGAGCATCTCAAAATATGTTATGCCTCTATACACAACACACGCTGACAACACTTCGAACACTTACACGAGGCCCGCGATTTGCTGAAAACAGTTGGGTTTAACGTCCTGACATCTTCAGAAGTTTAAAGAAAATGCCATGATGATTTTACCCTGTGGTGTACGAGATCAAAGGAGTAGTAAACAAGACATGTTTACCAGCCTGAGATGCATAATATACACATCATTACCATTGTAATCGTCTTATGTCATTTCCATGTGATAGTTTTCGTAGCTAGATTAAGGCAGAGCCAGGATGAACAGCTGTCCGAAATTGTCCTAATCGGCTAACGTTTATTCATTGGAGAGCTCTTGGTGAAGCCATACTGTCAGGATGAATTTCCCAATTTGAATTCACGACCATCTGATCACATAGCTGTCCTTCCTGTTATAGACGAGCCGATTCGTTATCGTGGAAGTGACAATATGACATCTGTTGTGGAGGATGGTTTGAGTTTCAGCAAACAGACGCGGAATGTAACAGACCGGCACATTGTAATCATCACAACGAGGCGGCGGGTTAGCATAGTGGTTGAAGCGTTCTCTACTAGGCCAAATGCAAGGGTTCGATTCCCAACATTGGTCCACTGTGTGACGCCCATCTCTGATCTCCCCCCGTCGTAATATTGATGAAATATAACCTTGTTTTGTGGCGTAAAACTACAAGCACTCATCAATCAGCTATCAGGGTAGATTGATGCCGTTTGATTGTCTCATTTTTCTTTCAAGAAACCCAGACTCTAACAAGGAAACCCTACATCGAAAGATGTTCAAACGACAGCTTAGGGCACATGTGTTTGAAATTGTGAGTTTGTTTCACGAACCACCATCAGTTTCATTGACCTAAACGAACAGATTTCCATCAACGATGTTTAATTATACGAATGTACATGTGCAACAGTCCTGGCACATCATGATGCCTACTCCATTACTTTGTGGCTGGAGACGGTTATCCTGCAGCTACGAACGTGTTAGTCATATAATCAAAGGGGCCTTCGCTCTTGTTGCCATTGCCACAGGTGGTCAGTAAACCAAAGATAGACTACGAACATCAGGAGCAGCCTTTTCCCAATTGGGATCACCGCTATAACATCTCTGTGGATTCAGTCGCAGCTTATGCTCAACTATAGGCCAATAGAGATGATAAACCTTTTGAATGTCGTTCTCCTTTTGAATGTCGTTCAGAGTAGATTAATTCAGCATGTCATGTCTGCGACTGAATGCACAAACTGAGAAACAGGAAACAGAATTGTAGCACACCCATTCTATACTAGCCAGCCGTCACCTTGGTCTGTAAGTTTTACGTAAATGTTTTGAAGTAACTGTTTTCTCTCTTTCGAGGCATCAAATGTCATTATGCGTATGCATCACTATTAATTGTTTGATTAATTATATATGTGCGTCATATATATAAGGCCGTCATGTTAACTGAGGGGGAAATCTGCCAAACAAGCAACAGCAATGTCAATGTTTAACTTTAAAATCAAGTTTGTCCATTCGTCTTGTGTACATAATACCACACCTTCATAAGAATCCGTAAAGGAGAGATGTGTCGCTGGATCCCGCAAATACAACACCAAATTATTCTTAAGACAATCAAAGAAAAGCTTTCTTTATCTTCGGAGATGAATTAGGATGCAAGTGAAAATAAGGAAATTCGTTGGACAAAATTTCGGGTCCAATATGGAAATGGCATCTACATGCCTTCATAAAATCTTGAAAGTTGGAACTCTCATCAAAAGGTTTAGCAGCAGTGGTATGAAGCAGTTGTTTGGGCACTATACTAGATAATGGTTTGATGCATTTATGGGAGCAAATGTTTTCCGTCTTCCTGCCTATCTGGAGTCAGAAGTCAGCCATAGATTTCGGTGGTCTGTTCATATAATTGTCACTACCTTTTTGTGCCCAATTGAATCTCCTTCGTCATGTAGCTGCAGACCGGCTGCTACCTGGCGTGACGTTTTTAATGTTGTTGTTTTTTTCGTTAGGCAGTTTATATAAATGCATATGTTTTAATGCCTGACGTATATCCAAAGGATCTATAAGGGCCAGGAACCAATATTCCTGAGTTCTGTTACAGGTCAAGACCACCGGACCTGACATGACAACATAACACACTCTCCTACCCAGCGTTCCGTGCGGCAAGCCAGCATAGTACCTCTGCCACAGGCCAGAAAAATGTGACGATTCGTCACATCTTGCAATGTCCATTCAATATAATGTACAGATTTCTTAGCTCTTTTATTTTTGACGAGTCTACACATCTAACAAATCATCTTTAATGGAATGGTTTAGTTTCACTGACAAAATATCCAAAAACGTGTAACACTATTTCGATTTGCGTAGCGATCCTTTGTTTACATAGGTTGTACGGCTCCACGTGCTGTCATCGAAGCTGATAGAGAGCATACGATGCAGCCAGTTTCATATCTAAATATGTACTGTCATAGACCTTTACTGTCGCAGTTGTGGAAGAAAATATATGTAACAATGTAAAACGTTATGAAGACAGATTCAAGATTCAAGATTCAAGATTCTTCTTATTATGAATATGCGCGTTTGTTTACAAACAAGAGAAAAGTCCGGTCACGTGATATGCAAATTAGCCTGTGGCAGTGATGTTATGTTAGTCATCGCTGTGCCGGAGTGTGAACATAACATGCAATTTGTTCTTGTAATCCAACACTATTTCATAACCTGTAAAGTGTGAAGCCCATTTCTGATGTCCCCCGCCGTGATATTGTTGGAATATTGCCAAAAGCGGCGTAAAACCATACTCACTCACTCACTTCTAACATGTAAATAATAAAGTTGTTGACTTTACACAAGGAAGAGTAATGTATAAAATTTATTCATATTATCAAAAACAAACGAAATATGTGAGGATAAACTCAAAAGTAAGCATAACCAAAGTTTGTGTCAGTTGGTAGTGGATGCAGCCTGAAGTACGACGGTAAACCAGAACACATAGCCTTCACTACAATCCCAGGTCATTGGCGATGTGAAAGACTCTAACTCACTAACTCAGAATACACGGAATGTGCGTTCTCTCCTGACTGATAAAATGACAGCTGAATTTTCCTTTTGGCTAGTATTGGTTCCAACCTCACCTTTTCTTAGACATTTTGGTCCTGTGTACATATCACAGAGAAACATATCGCGCGTTACATGCTACTGACATATGCTATATGAACGCATCTTTCAGGCTGTGTGCGTTTGAATATTACCACGTACTTGTATGTTGCGAATGCATGTCAGATGTTTCGTTAAAGAAAGATGTATTGTGCTCTCTTCACGTTAAAGTAGTTGTAGCCCTTGATAAAGATATCCACGGCCAACATTATCTCCAATCCTTCTGGAACGAACTCAGAACATTCGTTGAGGCTCTTGACTCAAATGGCAAGCAATTATCACACACCTGTATGTCGATGTATATTGTGTAGACTCAAGCAGATGACTAAGTGTCTACAATGGAATTGATCACACGTTTCTACATACCTGAAAAAGTATAGGCTAAGCTTGGATCTACATAACGATCTACTAACACATCTACATGGTTATCTCCCTTTAACATCTCAACCACGGATTGCCGACTCAAACTTAAACAGTATGTTTGAGCCAGAGGCAAAATAAATATCTGGTGTGGCTATGTCATGTTTTCGAAGTACAAATTTAGGAGTGTTTTTAGCAAAATGTAAACAATGCTGCAACCACAAGTTTACATGGCCCTCCGATGTTTCAGGGGGGCACGCAACAAATTTGTCATTGCCGAAATGTATTGATTGACACGATGTTCGAGTTAAGAGAGTTTGTTTTAAAGAGTGATATTTATTTTACTTGAAATATTAAAAGGAGATTGAATTGCTACGAACTCAAACACAGCAAATGCAAAGGAAGTCAGGATAAAGATTTATTTCATATCAGATATTCACAGACAGATTATTATATATCGTTTATATATAGACATCAACCTGTTATCTAATTTTCAAAGCTGATAATCCTTTCCTTGAACTATTACCGAACGATCCTGGTGTCTTGGGTCAACACGGCACCAACTTTTAGAACATCTGGTAGAAATCGACATTTATAGCAGAATAGTAATGAAATAAGTTGAATGAAGAAGTGCTTTTAGTAAGTGCTGTGCAAGTTTGCTTTCTGCCAATGAGATATAGGGCATTAAAGGAATAAAAAATGTGACGATTTCAAGCACAAAAAGCAAAGAAACTGACAAGAAATGAACTACGTATTACACAGACAGAAACAACATATTGAATAAGTTCCGGTGGATACAAATATACAGACATGGTAATTAACACTTAACAGGTGGTAACTGATTGAAATTGACACAGATTGAAATATACATCACGCCAACAGAGGGCCCTAGAAAGGTGTACATTTTCGTTCGGAGTTAGAAGAGTATGCCCTCCTTATCTATCGGGAGAATGTATATTGTTAGAAAACAGTTGACGTCAGTTTTGGAAAAAGCTAATTTTTTTCTGGATACTGCTGAGCGGAAAACGACCGATAGGGGTCTCCATCAAAGATGCGGAACCTCGAAGCTTGATCAACCTTTCATTTATCATTCATCAACGCATAGAATTCTGGAAACAACAGAAGAAAACAGATCAACAAGAAGTACTACAAAGCATGCTGGATAGCTATATACATGAAGAGCAGCGCAAGACAACAGAAGTAAGCGTGCGGTTAGTGCGCATGTGCGGTGCAGATGGAAGAGGAAGACAAAGTAATTTGAATGACGGGAAAAGGCAAAATGGTAATGGAAGCCCGTCTTGAAGTGGACTTGCGAATCGAATCGGGGAAATGTGGGACGCGTGCAAATTCAGGCCTTTGCACAGGGGTGTTGACATCATGAAGTCTAAGTTTCACTGTTCCGTGGCTTTCAAAGTTTGTTTTAATAAATATTACTGCCGTTTGGAACAATCGTGATTGTGGCATAAGGTAACCAAAACCAGGTCTTGTATTGGCTGTTTCACGCAGATGTCATCAGGTTTTTGAATTCTGCAAAAGAAGATGAATAAAAAATGTTGAATCCACAAAGTACATATACAGGTGGAATTGTCCTTGTGATTTTGCATTTTAGAATTTGGTGTTGCCGATTTCATGTTACTCTGAGCAGTAACGTGTTGGTGGTGGGTCCAAGTTGAATTTATATTCAAATCACAGACGCCGTTTTAAATGTTTAGTATATCGTTACAATAAATGGTACACAAAACACATATTTGTGTTTGATATACAAAGGGAAATGGTAACTGTCACTATGCGGCGGCGTCATCTATTCATGGACAAATAATTTGAATGTAAATTCAACGTAGAAATACAAACACACCATATATCAATTACCTGTTAGCCAGAGGGGTAAATAGTCATAGAAAAAGCAAAAGGATCAAAATTATGGGACAACATTTGATTAAATTCGGATCTTTCGAAAACACGGAAGGGGGGTTTTCACGTCAAATTCAATTTCAAAAATGACACTTTGAACCTTGGTATCGCGCCAGCAGTATATAAGTAGGTGTTATTTGTTTAGTTAAGAAAGATCAGGACGTAAAAGTTGTAACAGATCTCAAAACCAATGCAAATAAATTTGGTCATCTCGGAATATCAAAGGGGATTATAAGGGGGTTATAAGTAAAAAACAGTATCTGGTAAGATGTTTCTGCTCGAGTGCTGCTGAAAAGGATGACAATTGCATACATCAAAACCATATTATTCCGAAATCTAGGAGTTGCATTGTCGTTTCCAAATGGATAAATTTCAACAATGTTTCCGAATCACTGGATACGTTTAAATAATGGCTCAATAATACCAGAAAAAGATAGTAATTTATCGCTAAGTTGATAGTAGTTAACGATTTATAGAAGTTTGGAGTTTCCCTTCGCGGTATCAACAAGGTTGATTCTGAAACCATTTGGTAACACGGAGCTAAATTATATTTTTGTTCCTCCATTCCCTTATATTCTGCAAAAATAAACAATTTTCATTAATGACAATTTTGTGAATACACGGAGATATAAGTTGCCATAATTTGTGTACATGTAATAAACATAACAAATCTAAACCTGCGATGTGTACAAAGGGCGTGGCAATAATGAATATGTTCACTTGGTTTTGCATTGCGTATTTGTTGTCAGTATAAACATTTATTACAGATGGCATTCAACTATAATTCCATGGGTTCTATACCTTCTAATTTCTTCTGACCACGGTTCATTGAGGAGTGTCCACCTAATCTGCCCACCACATGCACAAAACATAAAATGCCCATAAAAATATCCGCTTAACTAAAAATGTTCCTTGTCACCGTGAACTTGAGATGCCCCTTGCTTTAACTTGAGTTGCCTCTAACTACCAAGGCTTTGGATTTCACAAGACCAAATAACATAAAAAAGTATATAATGATAAACGTATAATACCTCTTTAAAATGACCTTAGCAACAACCTACGCCAATGACAGAAAGATGTCATTACAGAGATTATATATCACGTTCCTTGACGGAAGCATCATTTATTTTTCAGAGCGTAATCACAGAGGGTGTTGTGAGAATTGTTATAATGGTATTCCTGACCGAGTCATTATATTTGTCCCAAAACAATTTTATTTCTTACAAAGAGACGAAAACCCATGACAGCCGACAGACCAAACCGAAACCAGTTCAAAACATCTTTCTACTTGGAATCACACACATTATGTGTTGCTTGACTCTGCACTCAACAATATTACAGCTATATATTACCTAGACCAGACAATCCAGTGACTGACATCATGAACATCGCAATGTGATACGAAGACATTTGTGAATGAAGTCACCATCTTTGTTCACCCGATCCCGTTAGTCGTCTTTTACGACAAGCATGGTTTGCCAAAGACCGATTCACGGGATTTCATTATGTGTATATCATAGTACAATACCTCAATACAAAGAAACCATGAAGATCGTGATACCTTCGTAGTCTACCGTTCCACTGCCGTCTGTGTCTGTCTCTGTGATCATGGCCTCAATTTCTTCATCGCTTAAGTCATCGCCTAAACTCTTAAGGATCCACTTCAGATCATCGACTCCAATTGTTCCTTTGTGGTTCTTGTCTAATACACGGAAAGCATCTCGGAGTTCTCTCTCGTCTTCATCTTGCTTCAGCTTCAATTCGAAAATCTGTTTAAATTGATCAAAATCGATAGCTCCCGTTGCTGAAAAATAAATCACATCATCAATGCATACTTGATAACATGTAGGATAGTCTTTTTCATAGTAACGATATAGATCTACATACGGTGAGGTGAGGTGAAATTGGGTTTAACGTCGTGCTTGAGAATATTTCGCTCATATGACGACGTGCATGCGTATGTATGTGTATGTACGGCTGCTTGTACTAGCCCAGACTGAAGCTGGTTTTATAGTGCTAGCCCACTGAGATACCATGCCGCAGTGTAGCAGAAATACCCCACTCAGACACATTATACTGACTCCGAGCCGACCAGTCCTTGTTGTACCCATTAATGCCGAGCGCCAGACAGGGACCAACAAGTACCATCTTTTAACGTCTTTTGGTATGACGCGGTCGGGGAACATTTTATTTGGACTCATCTACATACATTACCTGAAGTACCTAAATAGAAAACTGACACGTAGTAGTTTTCTTTCACCAATTTCACCTTACAAAAGTTGACATCTGTTGCAATGAATATTTCTTGATATTTTTGTCACTAGCATTTGAATGTCTCTCTTCGTTATGCATGCAAATACTGCCCGTATTTAAAACATCGCTGTCCAATATAAGTATTAGGAATCATATGTTTAAATTTCAAATTTGTCTTCCTTAGGTCAGCATTTCTTACCCCCGCTGTGGTATCGATAAGGTAAAGACAATGAGTGGAGTTAAACGCCTCTTGGAAGAGTATACCACCGTGGGCCTGAACATATCAGACAACGTTGCATGATATTGGTACATGGATATTGTGAATTTGAGAACGTGCTTGAGCATTTCTCACATAATATATTAGAAGGTCTCAGACGTGTCCATGTACCAGTACGTCAGCAAGTGCACGGTGATGATCATGACAGACCAATGTTCATAATCAGCTCCTGGCAGAACTATGGGATGCAACTCTGCATCGTCAGTCAGTTCACTGATTAAACGTGATGCTCTTAAACCCCTAATCACCAAAGTATCTTCACATAAACCTAGCAAAAGACTATGAGAACAATGGGCATGTGTTCACTAGCGTCAGTCGGTAGGTATGACGCTAACATTCGTCATATCAGTTCTTCGACTCACCTTCCTCATCCAGGTCATCTGTCCATCCCTTCAACGTCTCCTCATCGACCTGAAGACCCAGACCTTTGAACACACTGCCGATGTCTTTCGTTGAGACTCTACCGTGACCTTTCTTGTCAAAGAGGGCGAATGTTTGTTGAGCATCTGGAAGACAAGTTGAAATGTTTTTGGTGTTTGATTGATTGACCTACTTGAGTTTGACGCCTCTTCGGCGGTATTTCAATTATATCACGTCGCACCAGCTTATAGATGGAAAACTGAAAATAGCACAGGTCTTAGACAAGGCGACCATATACTTCCTTAATACTCATGCACATTTAAACACATGCATCTATTTAATGTATACTGCTTATTTCTGTCCAATGTCTTAAGAAATATATTTGAGATTGCGTGAAAATATATGTTCATTTTCGAGTGAAATTCAAAATTTGTTCAACTGTGAACAAAACGACGACCCTTTTATTGTGTCTCAAATCAAATGGTACACTTGTACGTTCTTTGTTGAATGACGGAATTTCACCATCATCTTATCTTATCAACATGAGCAGAAAGAGTGAGTGAGTGAGTTTAGTTTTACGCCGCTTTTAGCAATATCCAGCTATATCACGGCGGGGTGGGCAGAAAGAGTGAGTGAGTGAGTTTAGTTTTACGCCTCTTTTAGCAATATTCGAGCTATATCACGACGGGGTGAGCAGAAAGAACGGGGCAACTGCTGCATGAAGGTATATGGAAAAGAAACATCCCCCTAAATTTGGTTTTGGTTACTGGATAGTGCTGATTGTGCAAGATGTTAGTATTTACTTTACCTCGCGCGTTGTTTGTTAGCACATGTGGATGACATTGTATCATATGACGGAAGTACATACATCGGCGAGGAACAGTGTATCAAACAACAACATACATTGAGAAGGAACAAACATGTTCATATACTTACTCACTGCGACTGTAGCATATTATCATATGAAAATATATGTATGTCCACAGTTTATATGCAAACCATATGTTTGTGTTACGTATGTGAACAATGCGCCAATGTGTATGGCCGTTTATCTTAGCTGTGAACCAGGTTTGTGGGGATTTGGTTTAGAATGATAATATTGTTTGTTTGTTGATCTGACAACCCAGGGATTGATATTGCGACAGTCAGGTTACGTCCTTGTGCGCCTAGTACAAGACTCCAAAAACTTCATAAAAGTGTAATTTTGGAAATCGTTCATATTTTAATATGGAAAATAGTTCATACATATTATCAGGTACATGACTACAACATGCTACATTTGCTACAACCATAGACGTGTATGAAAGTACGCTATAATCTAGTTAAGTATCTTCTATATGGAAAGTGAATGGACACGAAATACACAGTCAATATATACCTGATTCTAATTCAACTTAGTATGATTGGCCAATGCTATAAATTTCCGACCGTATAATCAGCATATACGGTCGCAATTTGAAAACCGATTCACCAAAACCTTTGAATGTATCCCTACACTATTAGGGTAACGCTGTTTTTCAGGGCATTATCATTTGCAGAAGCCCTAGGTATGTTAACCCCCCTATTCCGCTAACATGGATGGAATTTGTGTTGAAAAAGACAAAACAGTATCATAAATTTAATTGTAAGTTTACTTCAAACAACTCGCAACGGGCTGTTGACCCAACACTGTTAGATCATGGAACAAGATTTATGACGTCATTATGGAGTGTGACGTCACCTTCTGTGACGTCATTTGACAACACACCGGATAATAAACTGCCCGACGAAGGAGGGCAGTTGATAAAGACCGAGGGTTTTCTGCAAATGATAATGCCCTCAAAAATAGCATTACCGTTATTATTGCTAAACTACATGGAATTTGTGTTGAAAAGAAAAAGGAAACAATGAAGGAATTTGACTGTACCCAAATCAACTTCTGACGGGCTTGACTGCCCGAATGCAATTACGTCATCGAACAATTCAAGTGACGTCACAACAGAAAGTGACGATATTCGACCTTGGCCTTTGACAAGACCATAGCCTGCAACATGTCAAGCTATGACAGTGTTCGGTTTTGGTCCATCAACAGTCTTAATAGTGCAATTGTTAAGGTTAGCACCAGCAAGAAAGCCAATATTATCGCTATTTAAAGCGGGAATTTGGGTTGCTTTGACTTGTTTGACCCAGAACATCTGCCAGTCGAAAGCCACTAATGTCGAACTATGACGTCACTTGACAACAGAACTGATAGTGGCCCGTCGTTAAGGTTGAGCGGTCCAATATCATTTGCAGCGGACCGCAAATTTCTGATAACAGGAGGGCCGTTTCATGATAATTCCATGTATTTTAGCTATAAGGTCCGTCGTTGAGGAATCAGCGGGCCATTGTCATTTGCAGCGGCCCGCTCATTTAACTAGAGGGCGGTTTCATGATAATTCCGTCCAATTTAGCTTTAACACTATGATTTATTCATCATTGTCAGATTTAGCCAGTGTGCACACAATAAACGTGTTTTAAGTTTGAAAAGTGAACTACTTTTTCTGGCGATGGTGTACGTTCAAGGAGTGATATGATTAACCTTTGACCTAGAGGAACTTTGACCTGGTTTAAATGATGAATTTCTTTCACGGAAAAACAGCGTTAAAAGAGTTGAATTAGAATAGGGATAACTGTACTGTGTTTGACGAATTGAGGGCGTATACCGGTGGTTATACAGCCGATATAACGTTACATTTGCGGCTATATAACCACCGGTATACGTCCCCAATTCGTCAAACACAGTACAGTTATCCCCCAATTTCACAATGTGTACATCATACGCACAATATATACATCATATACACAACATGTAGATGGTTAAAAGATATCCACGCATCTTTACATGGTATTATATTCCGATACACGTTATATAGATACATAGCGGAGGTGAGCTGAAATAGGATTTAGCGTAGCGTTCAAGATTGTTGCTAACCTAACGTTTAGTCTCTGAATACATATCATTGTGATTGTAACAAATAAACCCATATAAATTGAAAAGGAGACCCAGGGAGAGCAGAGATTCCTGAACCTGTGGAAATCTAGACTTGCTTCATTTAAGGCTTTTGCATTGCCGGAAGGGTTAGGATGTAGGCGAAATAATATGGTTCAGGGACTGTGAGTCAGACATGACTGTTGCACTCATATCAATGTGTATTGTGTAAGCCCGCCCGTCTGTTTATCTGTGTGTAGTTGACCGCAACTAATGCCGAGTTCATATTGCTCGCCTATTGTTATGTCATATCGCAGTTTCACACAGATACCCAACCCAAACACAGTATACTGACTTCAAGCAGGCAAGTCTCTGTTGTATCCCGTTATCGCCCAGCGCCATGCTGGGTAACAACAGGTACTGCAGATTACCTTCATTTGATAAGACAATACTAGGCGCGTTATCCCTCAGACTATGCAGTAGATCCTGTACTACGTCACACTAACTCGCTTCGATAGTAAAATCGACACCTATTCTATTTTGTAACAAGTAATTACATGAAAGACTGATATTCTAATATAAAGAGCCTCCGATAAGCCGGTAACACATCCCAAGGCTGTACTGGGTCTATTATATTTAACTGTCGGTCGGTAAAGCTGGTACACCTTTCCTCCAGTTATATCAATTAACACTCTCCTTTGCAGAACATAAATATTGTTTTACTGCAAATGTCTACATACAATTCGTTTCGCATGTCGCTCGCTGTCTATTGTGTACATGTAACCTCGCTTGTAACACGCTTCAACGTGAATACCATCCGTCAAGACGATAACAAGAGCTGTTTCCGTCATGCTTCATCATTAAAACACTATCTTTATACTCCGTGGTAACCCAGCAATCCGTTTCAATGCGGTATTAACAGCCTGTAACCTAGGTAACTAGTTTCCCCGCACATATATCTCTGGTTATTTTCGTCTCTGAGCACGCGAGGCATTTTCTCTAGGACTAATTCCATGATAGAGACACAGCCTCCTTATAAGGCCCCTGGTGTCAACATCTGGAAGCTCCCTGTGTCAAGGGAGACAACTCTGAACTGGCCTTGGGTCAATATGCCCGTAAAGTGATGAAGCCCCTTCTCCTTGGCAACATGTGGTTCCCATCATTTATCTCAAGACGGGAGGCAGGGTGGCAAGGATGGTTTACATACACAGGGAATGCTCCTGATAAATATTATCTGGTGCTGGTTCATCTTTGCAAGACAAAAGCAACACCCCTATATTGAAGGTGCACTGAGAATAATGACAGGCGAGCCAACAGAACTGATAATATGGTTACCGTTTCCAGCTGTGGTATCTCACACGCTGTGCACTAGCCTTGATCCACGGAACCACTGAATCATACTGCTGAAAGTGCGTGGATGTGTAGTATTGCTGCTAATTACAATTGGCATGACCACAATCTCCTCTAAGGACGTCTTGTTCCTATTATTTACATAATCTAGGACTTGAAATATAAACTCACTATAAATTATGTGGAGACTTGTTCTAGTCTAGCTCTGTCCTGACTGCTTAGTATACAGAATCCTGCATCAGCTGCATGTGGTTGCCTGGTGTGTATTGCTAAGGCAAGGGCATGTACCACCTCCAGATTTAGCCCAACGTCTCTTTAGTTTTTACAAGCACTGTAGCGCAAATTGGACTAGGTGCCCTCTCCATTACCGGTTCGCCCGATATATCTTACACAACTTTGATGTTATGACCATAATCTTGACTTCAGTGGTTGGCTATCGCCTTTGCTAAGCATTTGATACACGAGAAGACACGCTACGCTAGATATATGTGTTTTCAGTAATAACTATATTTCCAATTTCGACAAGAATCTGTTATCATAATACTTTAAAACACAGATTAGTTGTAGGCTTAGTTTCCCTCTACATCTTATAAACCTTCAGAGTCCGCAGCCTAGTATGTAAATATATCACTTGCCTTGTACATCTACAACCTAGAAGGTAAACATGTTACTTGCATTGTGCATCTACAACCTTGAAGGTAAACATGTTACTTGCCTTGTGCATCTACAACCTAGAAGGTAAACATGTTACTCGCCTTGTGCATTTACAACCTTGAAGGTAAATATGTTACTTGCCTTGTGCATCTACAACCTAGAAGGTAAACATGTTACTCGCCTTGTGCATCT